AACTCCTCGGGTCTTTTTATTATATAATTCTACATTCGACATGTTTAGTTTGCGCAGCCCATGTTTTGGGCATAGGATATAGATAAGGAATTTGCCAAAATGGGTAAAATTTGCCACTTGTTAAAAGGTGTTCAAGTGAATGGAGTGAACGAGGTTTAATGCCTATCCATGATTAAGAATATACTTATATGTCTGTTATTTCTTCATCGCCTGGTGTTAACATCGCTTTGTGATTTGTGCATAAGATCAAACAGTTTTGTAGCCTAGTGGTAAAGTGGTCGCTAGTCGCGTACAGAAAAGGGTTCTTTTCCCCCTTGTTACAATGAGTGAAGCTTATGTTTGTGTTTCCGTCGGTGATACGGTTAGACTATTGTCGAAAAGCTGTGTACAACCCCACTTTCACTGGTGAAGACAGATGTGTTCGGAACTAGCTGCATGGTATTGCAGAATAATCACAGCGTACTTAATTGAGCTTGCGTGCTTTGGTCGCTTTGAACACAGATTAGGAAAAACTCTGAGCATATGTAAGTCATGTAGTCGAAGGCAGAAAGAATTTTTGTCAGCAAAGCTTTATATTGCATAGGAGATCAAATGAGTGAGTGAGTGAGTGAGTGAGTGAGTGAGTGAGTGAGAGAGTGAGTGGGTGAGTGAGTGAGTGAGTGAGAGAGACGTTTACCACTTTAACTGGAACCGAAGAGCACGGATATGACGCTGAGAAAACACAGATCATAAGTCGAATCTTGCATGGGTGGGTGGGTGGGTGAGTGAGTGAGTGAGTGAGTGAGTGAGTGAGAGAGACGTTTACCACTTTAACTGGAACCGAAGAGCACGGATATGACGCTGAGAAAACACAGATCATAAGTCGAATCTTGCATGGATCCTTGCATGCCTAAGGAACTCAACTCTAAACGGTCAATTTCGGTACCTTACACAACTACACAACTACACAACTACACAACACACAACTACACAACTACACAACACACAACTACACAACTACACAACTACACAACACACAACTACACAACCACACAACCACACAACTACACAACCACACAACACACAACTACACAACTACACAACACACAACTACACAACTACTACACAACTACACAACTACACAACTACACAACACACAACTACACAACACACAACTGCAGCCCCCCCCCCTACAAAACACGGGTGGATACTTCCTATTGTGCTCTGGTTAATCTCTATACAAGGTGTCGCTTTGATACATAATTTTTTTTTTTTTTAAATGCCTACATTGTTATATAACTTGTGATTGCTAGTGTTAAGTGGTACCGCGTCCATGAAAAGCTGTACGCACGCTCACATAGGTCAGTGACCCTTCTGATCCTTACTTATCTGATATGAGTTGAAGGCCAAGCCAAACCTTGTTCGTGCGGTTAGCTGTCAGTTCGTTGCTCTACTGATTACTCCGTTTAGCAGGTGCTTGATGTAACTGCACTATTATCCACATAGGTCAAACCATTGGTAACTGCACTGCACAATCTGATATCTGGGCTATTGTATGCATTGCTCTGCATATATGCACACTGTATTTACCAAGATTACTTCAAAGATAATATATCAGGATGAATCACAAATGACGGTACCCAAAAAAAACCCCCTGGGTATCAAACCATATGGCCAAGAGTTGCATCCATTTTTTACGATACCATATTGGTACCCAGTTCAGCTGGCCCTTGAAGATCCGGGTTAGAACTGTTTCTCAGCAACCCATGCCTTTAGACTAACGGGTCCAGGCCGTCAGGCTCACCTGACTAGGTTGATGCATGTCATCGTATCCCAATCGATGCTCTTGATGTCAGTAACTGGATTGTCTGATCTAGACTCGATTATTTACAGATCGCAGTTATATGGCTGCGTTAAACACAAACAAACAATTGTTGACGTTAGATAAGACGTGCAATTGGGTGGTCATAGTGTGTTCATTTATGTCATTGTTCACAGATCGCACTGATATCGTTATAATTATAGATTAGCGTAAAACAACATCCACGCGTCGTTCAAGATAAAGGTAGGGGTCTAAAAGTACGTATGATAAGAGAAGAACCTGATCTTGTGGGACGCAGTTTGATGCAAGGTCCAACGGTTCCTTGAATAACGGTATCTAGTGTCCTGGTACCTGGTCTCAAACGTTCTGACCAAAGACAAGCCGCCCTGTACAGTGTAAAGCACTCGGCTGTCTAACTGTGACGTTCTGTTTGAAACGGGTTTAACGGTAGACAATGTAACGGTATCTGATCTAATGAAAGTCGATCTAACGGTGTCTGGTAAAATGATAGCTGGTCTAATGAAACACATTATTGTCAACGACAGGCCGTCATATCGCATCCCAGTAGTGTATAAATCACACATCTATAAACCAAACTGTATTTGTGTATATCATATCGATATTGATATAAAATATTCATAATTTTCTTTTGAGCAGCATCAGTAACAGTAAAAGGATATCTGAATGAACAGCGAGACCTGATTAATGTCACAATGTATCAATTAGAATGTAACTCCGTGTTAAGGCCAACCGACAAGAGGTTTCCGTTGACAGTACTATAGCGCCTTGTCGAAGCTGACTTCACTGATAAGACGGCAACATGACGTAGTTGTTTTGTTTTTATGGGTGCCCGGAGACGAGCGTAATATAAACATAGATAAATAACGCTGTGGTTTTATCACCGCTTTAGTGGCCCCACAGAACATATTGTCACGAATTCACTGGGGTGATTTTATTGTGACGTATATATTTTTATGCGTGTATATTTACATTACTTAATATATATTTACATATTATTACCGTTATACTAAAATGGCTATCAATACTTTTCGTTTTATGGTTAGAATAATATATAATAAAATATTGTGCATTATGTAAATTCAATATGTATTTCAAAGTAATATAAAAAGCTGTTACACGGAATAGCATAGATCACGTCATTAAACATGACATTAGCATCGCTACTGAATGAATCACTGATCAAGCTTCAGTATGAACAGAGGCGCAACGATCCGTACTGTCTAGGGCTTTCGCATATCCACACGCATATATTTAAGAAATAAACTACTCGTGGTCGTTGTTTATCGTACATAAAACACTGTAGGGAGAAAAAAACATTTATTCTCCCTACAGTGTTTTATTGTACGATAAACAACGACCACGGGTCGTTTATTTCTTATATGAGATATCAACGTTTTGTTCAGCCTCTTTAACTATGTTAATAGAATGTACAAGCTTCAAAAGTATTCACCCGTATTAAAATAATGATGACTCCCTGAATACAATCCGGTTTCCGCAGTGTCGGACAAATCCATTTATGAAAAGGGGGGTAACGTTTGATATTTCCCAGATATTCACACAAGTTTCACGTTAACTAGACACCTCCTTCTCACAAGTAACGTCGTACAATTTACAACGTCATCAAGTTGCGGGCAGGTGTTCGATTCTCCGGAAATGACATCATGATAGAACAATGTTTATCGTGAAATAAACCACGCTTCGTTTTCATTGGAAAAAACATACACGCATACACTGACACATACATAATATATATACTGCATAAGCGCACAGGCAGTCGCAATCGTACATACACATACACACACTAACGCACGCACACACACACACACACACACACACACACACACACACACACACACACACACACACACACACACACACACACGCAGACACACACACACACACACACACGGACACGCAGACACACACACGCACACGCAGACACCCACATTCACACTCACACCCACACTCACACCCACACTCACACCCACAACCACACCCACAACCACACCCACAACCACACCCACAGCGCACCCACAACGCACCCACACTCACACCCACACCCACACCATCACCCGCATCCACGCCCATACCAACACCCACACCATCACCCGCACCCGCACCCACACCGACACCCACACCCTCATCATGACCCGCACCCACGCCAACACCCACACCCACATCCACACACACACTCTCACACACAACGCCAGCAAATGACCCTCAACCTCACCCGCACCCGTATCCGCACCCACATTCTGTACATGTGGCGCGTAAAGCGAGAGATTGTAAAATTTGTCCTGACAAACAAAATCTATCAAAGAGGGTGGTTGTATTGAACTACATGTACACTGGTAGCTTGAAACAAAGTGCGCAAGTAACTGATACAGGTTATGCACTTTAAACAAACCCGTCTGTTGGGTAGATAAATACAACCCTTTAATGCAAGTCTAGACATGGTCGTTCATTGTTGAAGACTGTCATATGCCGCTAAAATCATATAGTTTATAGTCTAAGTAGAGGTTATTTATTTTGCGCTGTTTTCAGAAAAAATAGAGTATGGTAATGAATTATCACAATGTGTTGCAGTCGTGACATTAATATACAGAAAGAAACATGTGAATATCGTTTCACAGTGACAAAACAATACCTAATAACATTAAATGGAATTACCATGCTTGCCGTAAGAGGCGACTGTGCTTGTCGTGGCGACTAACAGTATCGGGTGGTCAGGCTCGCTGACTTGGTTGATGCATGTAATCGTATCTCAATTGCGTAGATCGATGCTCATGATATCAATCACTGGTTTACCTGGTCCAGACTCGATTATTTACAGACCGCCGTCACATAGCTGGAATATTGCTGGGTGCGGCGTTAAATAACAAACAACAACTAAAGAAATCAGAATGTCCCCGTACCATATTAGTTAAGGTTTATAAACCTTTATCATTCAATAAATGCATAAAAAAACTATAAAAGTTGTAATATATCGAATTTTCCCGATTCAGTAAACATGACAATTTTGAACTTCTATAACATATATGTTGTTAAGTCGTTAAATGTTTCTTAAAGTGCACATATGTAAGCGCACACTTTGATTTAAATCTAAAGTGCAAACAACATATTCATGTGTTCAGTTCAATAAAGATTTAGAATTGAATTAAAGCAAATTAACACCTACCTGAATATATGAGGAAGCTTGGTGGATTCACCGACTTCTCCGACGTGAGGTTGTATTTATAGCGGGGTCCCTGTGACCCTGCCCAGTGTCACATAACAACATTCAATTGATCGGGGGATTCCGGAATTCCAGTAAGATGTAGTCCCTTCATCGGTCGAGAAAATCGTAACAACAAACACACCACACTTCATGTTGTTCATATATTGACTAAAGCACAATGTGTAGATCACGTTAAGCCTTTTACCGTGCATTGTCCTAATTAGTTAAGATTATATCAACAAACCCGTTTACAGACCATAACAATGTTCATCCGCGGTGATCCGCCAGGTTGCGTATGATTGTGTGATATTGGAGCGCACGGGTTCAACGACCGATGTGGTGATATCCCGTTCCACCCTGTTAGTAAATAGTACAATGAACCTCACTTCATAGCTTTTATGGAATAAATAAAAGATTCTTATATATACCAAAAAACTTTATGGTTGAGTATTACACAGACATTTAAGTATTAACAGCATGAGGGGAGACTATATAGTAAATCTATTTATATTTGAGCAATAACATTTAAGACGCAGTACTCGACAGGCGAGGCAGGCAGCGTTTGCGGGCAGTCTTACACGCCTTCGACCAGTTAGGGGGAAATCAGGTCAAGTTTACTCTATGCCAGGTGTCCAAAGAGGGATTTCAGAACTCAATTGAGGTTATTCACACGCTGAGTTCAATAGCGTGCAACAGGTTACCGCGTGTGGTTACAGAAGCTGCACGATACCACAACTATTATGCTGTTTAAGTGCTATATATATTTGATCAATTTTAGTGTACGTTATACAAGTAGACAAACATACCTCAGGATGAGAAAGTTCACACACCTTTTATTGAGTTGTAAGAAGTATTTCTATGTGTGTCAAGAAATACATGTGTGTGGTTATATATTTTACACCATATAAAATAACATACCGTGCTCTGCCACATTAAAAAAAAAGCAGTTTTCGTTACATTTAAATACAGAAAAGGTAAACTCGTTCTGAATGAAGTAACTTTATCAATCGTCCCCAAAAAGTAAAACTGCGAAATGTGCGAAATGCTTGCTACATACTACGCTTGGGAATACAGTCAAACACCGTTGTGTCCAACTTTGATGTGTCGAAATTCCGACTGTATCGAATTTAAAGCTTGGTCCCTGCGTTTTCCTTCTTTATTCATCATTTTTCGGTTGTGTCGAACCGCGGATACCGCGAAGTATTTACGTAGGCCCCTGTAACTTCGAAACCACGGTGTTCGACTGTATGGGACAAACATTGCGTAGTAGTAAAAATGTTTTGTTTCAGATACACCCGGGAAGGACAATCATTGTAACTGATCCCACGGACCTATAACCAAGTCCGTGCTGATCCATAAATAGTTTTCTTAGTTAAAGTAAAAGAAGTAATTGAAATTTAATTTTTTGATTATTTTATAATTAGACAATGATGTGAAGAGACAAGACAAACATATTGGTACATAAGGGATATTTTAATATGTGAGGAAATCCCAAAGTGATGCAGATCGTAGCCGATGACACGTTGGTGAACCTCTAGAGCACCAGTATGGTGCTAATAAATCACGGGATATCATCAGAGTGTTTGGATTCGAACCCACAACCATGGACTCCTGGCATCCTGGGCTTAAGTCCTCACTGCGTTTTGCGGCTTCTCAAACGATCGGGCCATACGTCACTTTAAGTTGATATCAATGTGTCTTGAGAACTTTCAGCCTTTGTTAGATATACGCTCTTCAAAAGAACCTCTGGAGCGTTATAACCGGTCCAAGTGAAGTTATCGTTACATTACCGGTTCATATCACACACTGATGGAGATGAACAAAGTGACTTTATAGTTGAAGATGTTGACAAGGTTTGGTATAACATAACCGTACATACGATTTAAAGTACAATAACCTTCTCTAGGGTGGATTTAGAACTGGATGATTGCCAGTGCTTGGGACCAGTATTTCTGTCGAAGGTTCAACGACCCACACAATCGTTATACAAAGGCATATGGTCCAGATGGGAACGTCCTCACTGAACATTTAGTTTAGACGTCCTCGGATGACCTTATATGTTAAACATGGGAGTTATGGGTTATCCATCTTTTGTGTTATTTCATTATAGATATGTCCCATTAATGTTTACACATTGGACATTGCGTAACATTGTTTTTCCCTCGTATGAAACTGTATATTTGTAACATTGTAACACATGCATTATATAAAACATATAAACTATAGATATTATACATAGCATGTACTGCAAAGTCTAGACATCACATACAACATGGATAGTATTGTAACTATAGATACTATATATAGCATGCAAAGTAACGTGTAGACATCACATACAACATGGATAGTATTGTAACTATAGATACTATATATAGCATGTACTGCAAAGTCTAGACATCACATACAACATGGATAGTATTGTAACTATAGATACTATATATAGCATGCAAAGTAACGTGTAGACATCACATACAACATGGATAGTATTGTAACTATAGATACTATATATAGCATGTACTGCAAAGTCTAGACATCACATACAACATGGATAGTATTGTTACTATAGATACTATATATAGCATGCAAAGTAACGTGTAGACATCCCATACAACATGGATAGTATTGTAACTATAGATACTATATATAGCATGTACTGCAAAGTCTAGACACCACATACAACATGGATAGTATTGTAACTATAGATACTATATATAGAATGCAAAGTAACGTGTAGACATCACATACAACATGGATAGTATTGTAACTACAGATACTATATATAGCATGTACTGCAAAGTCTAGACATCCCATACAACATGGATAGTATTGTAACTATAGATACTATATATAGCATGTACTGCAAAGTCTAGACATCACATACAACATGGATAGTACTGTAACTATAGATACTATATATAGCATGCAAAGTAACGTGTAGACATCACATACAACATGGATAGTATTGTAACTATAGATACTATATATAGCATGTACTGCAAAGTCTAGACATCACATACAACATGGATAGTATTGTAACTATAGATACTATATATAGCATGCAAAGTAACGTGTAGACATCACATACAACATGGATAGTATTGTTACTATAGATACTATATATAGCATGCAAAGTAACGTGTGTGTATGTTATTATCGTTGGATGTTGATTCAAATCAAATTTGATCACTTTTTACATATAGCATTTTGAGCATTCCTAATTATGTTCTCTTATCTCATAACACACAAACATAAGAAATGATATATATGTGCATGTATAAGACGTTTTGTATAAGCCTTCCAGATGTTAATTTAGAAATGGGAACAAATAAAAGTGCTATCCATGCAACTGCATGTTTAAAAATAATTCATTTTCGTCCCCTCAGACACGACAAATCCAGTGTGTGCATTTGTGGCATATTCAAACAAGAAATGGGGTTATCAGACCGAGTCATAATATCATCATACATCCATCTCCAATCAACTTGCAAATGGGCGTATCTTCTCTCATCATACTTTTGAGAGTATTGATACATCAGTGTGATATACATTCCAACATCTTCTGAGACAAATATAGTTTTGATGTCGTCTCCCTCTGTTGTTTTGTGAATGTGTACGGTTTCTACATGTAGCTACAAACCTAAGGCTTTACGAGACCTTTAAGAGAACACAATGTGCTGTTCTGACATGCTCTTGCTCTTGTGCTTATGGTTTAGAATTTTGCACTTCTTGATTCATTAGGCAAATCGCTAAGTTTCTTATTTTGTTATTTTGTAAGCACTTAAAAGTAGTTATGCTCATGAAAATCAGATTTGTAATGTATCGAAACTGCATCGTAAACATACCTAATCACGCCTAAAGTACAGGCCGAGTTCAATGTTCTAGGTAGACATTGCAAGGGGACACACTGACCCGCTGGCGGGTCAATTTGACATTTTAATCGGTCAAGTGGATTTAGTGTTTGATGGTCAACCACCTTTAATGCTATACAAACAAAAGTGATATACATATATATATATATATGTATATATGTGTGTATTTAATATGCATTCGACAGGTAAGGGTTTGCTTACATTATACAACGTGTTTACTTAAACTGTGTTGGAGATCTGGCAACATCGGAATGCCCATGTCTCGGAACTGAACTGGGCTCCGCAGCCAATTTACCTTGTCACAGTGGGGATTATGGGGGCATGGTGTCTTCATTTGTTTAGTTGAAATCAAAACATTTTCTGTTCTCTTAAAATTGATATGTCCTTATTGCAAATGTTTATAGGTCATTACTTGATTTTATATTTGAGGGTACTTCCCCCAGATCAGAGAGGACTAAGGTATGATCCTACATCTAATTATTCAGCTAGCAAAGTTTGCCAGTTATTAAAACTTTCTTGGTTGTTTAACTCACAGCTCAGCACTATTCCTTCTACGGCGGGTCTAGACCAGACAACCCAGGCATTTTATATCATGAAAAACATCTTACTCCATCTTACACGCTATCAGCTAGATCACCGAGCCTGACCACCCGACCCATTAAGTCGCCTCTGACATATATTGTTGGGGACCTATTCTACCCCTGACAGCCTACTCGGCAGTAAGTTAAAGCACCAAAATATAATTCACTGTTCATGATTAAGAATTCAGAGATACCAATGAATAAATAAGAAAATTGTTGTGGCCTCTCGTTCAATTGAGAATAACACTAGTATCACACTTTTCTCAGTCATAGCTTCATGGCAATGTATCCCACTGATTTATCGTTAGTAGAACACCCTTTAAACACCAGACTACAAATATGAACCCTCTTAATGAAGGCAGGGTCGTGTTACTCTGGAATGAACGCTTCCCTCTCGCGGCAAGGTATGCCTTGTTAAATTATATATCATTATTATCCAGCTTGCGCGTGGAGAGAATGTAGTTTAAATACAAGTTTGTTGTGATAGATATGTTGCCACATGTTTCTGCCAAACACGTTGGCTATAAACATGATTTAATTCATTCCACACAAGACCACAATTCGT